GTGTGTGTGTGTGTGTGTGTGTGTGTGTGTGTATATGTATATATATATATATATATATATATATATATTCCTACTGTATTTTCCACTACATGCATCCGATGAAGTGGACTGTAGCCCACGAAAGCTTATGCGCAAATAAATTTGTTAGTTTCTTAGGTGCCACAAGTACTCCTGGTTTTTTTGTATTTTTCTAGTTATGTTTATTGTTTCCTTAAATATCTAATTCCAGTTTCCTCAACAGACATTAAAGCAGTATTCTTGTCTTTTGAAGGTAAAAATTACAGGAATTATAGAAAATGCCTTTGGTTTTAATTTCATGCTATAATGCAATAAAACCTAGATATGTTGACTCCAAGTCCTGTGGCTTATCCATTAGACCATGTTTCCATTAAACCAAAATGTCTTCATTTAAAAATAAATAATTCAGAAGGGAGCTCTTCCCTAATATAGATTATGCAATTTTGCAATGCTGAACAAACACCCACAATACTTACATTTGGAAATTAGCTGCTGACTATGTTCTGCATTTCATTTTCGTTACACTTTCAGTATGTAGCATAGTTGCCATAATGAACCAAGTGCTATCATAAATCTTGTTACTATATAGGAAGCTTTGTTACTGCAACCCTTTCTTTGCATATTAAGTATTGTTATTATGCTAATTTACATTACAACAGTAACGAATGTGTTTTTTAAAGAGCTATTAAAATCTGAAACACAAACCCAATTTTTAGCCACAATATACTGAACTGAGGCCAGTTTTCTAGGATCTAGATGGGGACTATAGAACTTTTCACTTCCAAGACACCAGTTTTAATCTGCCACGTTGGTAGTCCCAAAAATATATTACTATATAAAGGCTGTTCAGTGGCCCATGCAAAATGAGATAGATGGTCTTGGTCCAGTTGCTTAAGTACAAATATCCAGATAACAAAAAGTTCTACCACAACTGAAACCCTTGTTGGCAGCAAAGAGGCCAATGTCTGATTGGGCAAGGAAACTGCCCTCACCCTGGGAGGTGATCCAATTAATCTTCACTGCTGGATCGTGGCGAGGAAGCTTGCACTGCTGCCGCCACCTATTCTGGGGATAAATAGAGGGCTTCCGTCCATCTGGCATTTTTCATGAGCAATAAATTCACTTAGGCTGCAGTCCTGCAAATGCTAACCTGACAATTTAACTTTTCTCCCATTCTCCCATAGCAGTCACACTGAGGTCTATAGATCTCCTCAGATGCTTAAAGTGAAATGTGTGAATGTTTGCAGAATCAAGGCCTTAATTTTTTATTTAAATCAGTTTTTCTTTTGTATGTAAGACTAAATCCTGCCCTCATTAAAGCCCTTGGCAAAGTTCTAGCTTACTTTAAACTGCGTAGATTGGCTCCCATAAACTTCAACTACATTAATTTTTGATGCACTGAAAAACTTGTTTTCTGAAATAGAAATTATGAAATCTTAGACTGCATTTTAAAAAAACAACTTATCTTTGGTTAAGAATATGTGTTTAAGAGAGTGCTGTCTTTTCCCCTCTCTTTCTCTCTCTCTCTCGCACAAATACAGATCAACATTGCTAGGCAAGGTGTTACGGATCAATGTGGATAATAATGACCGTGGGCCTCTTTATAGAATCCCTCCAGACAACCCTTTTGTTAGTGACCCAAAAGCTCGACCTGAAGTCTATGCATACGGGGTGAGAAATATGTGGCGCTGCTCTTTCGATAGGGGCGAACCCTACACAAAGGAAGGGAAAGGGCGACTTTTCTGCGGAGATGTAGGACAGAATAAATTTGAAGAAGTTGACATTATAGAGAAAGGAAAAAATTATGGCTGGAGAGCAAGGGAAGGATTCAGCTGTTATGATAAGAAACTTTGCACCAATTCCTCACTAGGTAATTATACACTCTAAATAAATGACCTTGAGATTGGGTGGTGCCTGCACTTCCATTATTGACTTCTGCTTCACAGGTTGATTGTGCAGTTGCAAACATGTATTTTTGGGTTTAAATTTGGCATATACAGCCTCATCCTGGGAGCAAGCTGACTGAAGAAGTTACATTAAAAACGTTTGCCATTTCTGAGTTATGAGAAAAATGAACTGAACTTTAATGCCCTGGCTATTCCACTTCTTAGCCAAATGTGCTGCTAATTATACCAAACCATCCCAAATTTTCATGGTGGTTCTGTGATTTGGACAAATATGCACGAGGGACAATTTTCATTTTTGCTACATAAGCAACACTTATATGCAAGTCTGTGGAAGTCAGAGCTATTTGCTTTATCCAACACCTTGCCCCTGAGATATTAACATTTTACTTATTTATCTCCATAACTTATAAATGGTTTAGCTTCATAAAGAGAGATTCTTCAAGCTATTATTCCCCTACATGGATTGGTCACTCTGCCAGCTTTTAAAAGGCTACTCTGTATGCAGTGTGATGATTTATTTTTTTTAATCCCAAAAGGAAAACACTCTCTTAACTTTTTATTTTTAACACTTGGGCTCAGTACACATGCTGTCTGCTACAGTTTGGTCAACATAGTAAATCTCAGGGCATGCCATGCCATAAATGTGTCTGGATTTTGGGCCACAGCTTCAGTGGGAGTAAATTGGCATAGCTTCACTGCAGCCAATGGAGTGACACCACTTTACACCAGCCAAGCATCTGGCCCATTGTGTTTTCATGTTGTTCAACACCCTACTTTTTTCTTTTTGCCATATAAATATCATCTTCCTATTAATTTAAATATAAGGAAATTGGTACATGGGAAAGGACGTTAAGAGCTATAAAATGTGGGTTAATGGGTTGGAAGGCACGTGGCACATTTTAAGTCTGAATTCTCTTTCTTCTGCCACTGAAAAAATAGCCTTTTAAGTGTCCTTTTAATGCCTTTCTGTGTGTCAGTTACTTAAGCTACGTTAATGGGAATCTCCTTATCAGTGACCCGGTGGGTTCAGAACAGTTTCTGATGCTTTCATAGATTCTTTAAAATAAAAAAAATTGAGTTGTCAGAAGTAACTACTTTAGATGGATATATAAAAATGATACAGCATAGCTTCCCATCTGCCCTGACCCTTACAATACATGAATGCACCATATAGTTAAGGGGAGTGGGAAGGGCTTGGCAGCTCTCAGGATCCGGTCCAGTGTTATGTTGTGTAAACTGCTTTCTTTATGGAAACAGCTCATTAATTTTCTTGTCCTCAACAAGGGATTTCCCATCTGGCCTTCGTCATCTTCCCAAGGCAGAGAGTTACATTTGTTGACAGAAGAGGGCTGCCTAGGATTCCCTTCAGATCTCATCAGTGCCCATTCTAGCTCAGCTACAGCGGTCGCTCCAGAGAGATGAGGCTCTAGAGCAGCGGGTTGAGTGTCAAGCTGCCATTCAAGGCTCTCCCAGAGCCAGTCGCGGGAGTACTCGCTGAGAGACTGCAGGAGAGTGCTGAGCCCTTTGGATTCCCAGCAAATAAGTGTGGGGAAAACAGGATGGGGAGAGAAATGCATTTCCCTTCTCCAATTTCCTAGCTGCTGTGAGGGAGAAGAGGGATAAAGAGGAGAAATGCATGACCTCTTGCCCCCATATACATGTGCCCTCTGTCCCTATATTCAGGGGAGAGGGAGGAAACTTTTAAGATGGAGCCCTAGAGAGCCACAAAATGACTCTCTGCCCTGGCGATGTTTTGTGGTGATTTCATGAAGATTTTGCATCAAATATGGCAACACCGTCAGGATGTCTCACCGCAATTATTTTGTGGCTCTTCAAGGTTAAGTTCCTCTGCTTCAGAGTGACATGAGAGTTTCCCTCTGACAGGGTTGTGAATATGCCGTTTCTTTCATGCTTGCAGCCCTGTTCTAGAGGGGAGAGACCAGGCTCAGAGATACAGCTAGGCATCTTCCATGACAGCATGGAGCTAATCACAGAGCCCTTAAGTCCACCGCTAAGTGTACAAAATAATTTAAGTACTGGGTCAGTTTCTTAGTAAGGAGCCCCTAGTTATCACAGCCATTTGGGAGAAGAGACCCAAAAGGCCAAAGTGTAATAAAAATAAATTTGACTCCATTCAGTAGTTGATTTAGCACGGAACAAGAAGCCGGATGGGAACTTGATAGTACACATCCCTGTCTAGTAACAATCTACCATTTTATTGATAGAAAAGCTATTCTGTATCCTACTTAAAACAAGGCAAGACACAATATCTTCTCCCCTATACAGATGATGTGCTTCCAATTTATGCTTATCCACACAAAATGGGGAAATCTGTTACAGGAGGCTATGTCTATCGGGGTTGTGAGTCTCCAAACCTGAATGGGCTGTACATATTTGGTGATTTTATGAATGGGTAAGTCCAGTTGCTCAGCAAGCATTACCCACAGCTGAAATCCTCCATTTTGCTCCAAACGTCTGCAAATGCCTCGCTGACTTACTGCTCTTTAGTTGGTTTATTCTGAGTGCAATCCCGTATTGCATATTACAAATGATTCACGTAACATGTTTTCCTGTAATCATTATTCCATGTTGTTGTGAAGGTATGTGATTATCACAACAGCAGTAGATGTTGCTGATTCACTTGGTGTCAGTACATGTGAACGGATGTGGCTTTGACATTGTTTTAAAACCATAAAAGGAGAGTAAATGACCATTCTGTATTTTGGCGCATCTTTAATGCATTGTACTGTCCAGCCACAGGAGGTATTTCCAGTCATAGGAAGTGCCTAACTCCCATTGAAATTAATGGGAGTTAGGCACCTAAATACCCGTGAGAGTCTGTACCCATGTATCTTAATGCTTCTGGTCCTATTAAATGTTCATCCCCTTTCATTTCTATTGAATCTAATGTGAGTGGAGAGCAGACATCCATCATAGGATTGGGCACTCTTTTAATTATCCCATTTGGTACTATTAGATCAAAAGTATCTGTCCCAGTTGCCTGATGCAAATTATTTTTGTCTCACAGACGTTTAATGTCATTGAAAGAGAAGCGTTCTACTGGAGAATGGCAGTACACTGAAATTTGCATGGGAACAGGACAAACTTGCGTGTTCCCTGGGCTTATCAATAATTATTATCAGTACATCATCTCTTTTGCTGAAGATGAGGCAGGTAATCATATAGTATTACACTGAACAGTGCGGTTGTATTTTATCTTCAGAGCAAAACACCTTGGAATGAGAATACCTTTTTAGGTTAAGAAGCACGCATTCTGGAGGGTAGCTCAGGTAAGATCCAGAGTGTGCCCAAACATTGAAAAAATGGACTCCCAAGTTCTCGCAGCTACCAAAAACAAAAAAGCAATTGTCATGCTTTTCAGACCGTGTACTATTCCTTAAATGGCCAGTGTATCATGCGATGATGAGCCCATCAGCAGTTTTGGGAGAGGGTTGCTTGCCTATTAATGTATTTATTTTTACTGTAGGTCCATTTGCATTACCATCTGCCCCATTGTCATTTGGAGGGGAGCAAATGCCTGGGGACAAATACATTAAAACATCACTTAGAGGGAACCTTAATCTCCAATTTGAAAAAGCCAGAGGAAATGTATGGGAGTACATCTACACTGCAGTAAAAGAACCACAGCATGGTTTGGGGCCGACTCAGACTCATGATGCGTGGGCAGCAGGGCTAAAAAGTGCAGTGTAGATGTTTGGGCTCAGGCTGGAGCCTGGGCTCTGAAATCCCATGAGGGAGAAAGTTCTCAGAGCCTGGGCTAAAGACCAAGCCTAAATGTCTACAATGCTGTTTTTAGCCCCACAGCCCAAGCCCTGCAAGCTCGAATCAATTAACCCAGGCTCTGAGATTCAGTGCCAAGGTTTTTTTTTTTAATTGCAGTGTAGATGTAACTGGGTGTCCACCAGGTTGATGGTAAAAATGGAAGGAGTCTGGTATTTGATACAACACGTTTATGCTTTTGGCTCATTTAGGGATCTGGACTGGACACTATAAATGGCTGACAGAAAATTAGACACAATGAGCGGTGAGAGTGAAACCTGCTCATACCGGCCTTGAATATTGTAAATCTCCTTTCGGAGTGAAACAGAATGGAAGTTGTACACTGTTTTAATATCTTGCAATGTGTGAATTGCAAACAATGTATCTTTGCTTTTAGGTTCATACTCTGGCAAAACTTCCATTGGAGTCGATGAGAATTTTGCTCAGGTCGCAGGTCTCGCTTTTAAATAATTTTATTTGTGGAAAGGCTTCAGGATAAGCTACTGGCTTTGTATGTTACAAGAGTGATTTCTTATTATATGAAACGGGGGCGAAAGAGGATCTGAAGGGGAAACTTGACATTGGTCAACTGTTAGTACATTCATATTGTTAATTATGTGGGACTGAAGTAAGGATAAGCACACTGTACAATTCATAGCAGTAGACGAATTAGAGTCACTCCACAAATGTTTAGCATGGTTGCTAAGCAGCAGCATGCACTACATTGAAATTTAGGAGTTTGTGCTCTTAGCCATTGTAATGTAAGTCTTGTTGGCTTCTGATCACAATGACTCCTGCCACAATCCCTGAGGTATGTTTTTATAACTCTTTGTTGTTTCTGGACAGTTGAGTAGACAATGTTTGGTATTAATGCAGGCTGGATGCAATTGAAAACTGAATGTACAATTTTTCCCCTTTTTTTATATTTAAAAATAAAACCCTTTATTGACATAATTAGCCTATTCCCTCCCTAGGCTTCAGAGCCAGCACTCCAACCCAAACCACAACATCTACACTGCTGTTTTTAGCACCACCGCGCAAACCCAAGACTGTAGGTTTTTTAAAACACAGTGGGGACGTACCCAGTGGAGTGCAAAGTGGATATAAAATACCACCATTCTGTAGCTTTTTACACTTACATTGCACCGGAATAAGTGACTGTACAAGGTGCAATGGAGTATCAGGTTTATAATCTGTTAACAGGTTTAGTTCTTCCTATGTATTCATTTCAGTATAATGGAAAGAAAAGGTATCACTAAATTAATATTTTCCTCTACTGAGTTCAGGGTATAATCTTCTCTTGGGCCCTTTGCTGTCCGGAGATGTTTGTTTATGACTTTATCAGTCAGTTATTTGAGTGGGCCTTCCCTTACTAAAATGCTTGTTTTCAGGATTACTACTTTGACGAGTGGGAAACAGGCTCCTGTGCAATGGCAAACCACAATTTTTTTTGGTGTACTTGTGGCATTTTCATAAAATTGAAGGAAGGTCCCAAATCAGCTCTCTGGTGCTAGTGTATGGGTGGGTATGCTCTGCATGCATAAAAGTCAGGTTATGTGCTTGGTCCTGTGCACAGTTAACCTCATTAGTAGGGCAGTGACTATTTTCAGGTTAAATGTCTGGAAAAATTATTGATGAGTCATGGCAAAATTTGATTAAAATCCAGGAGCAAATCTTGAGGTTCCCTATGCAGTTGGGATTATACCCAAGCAAAATCAGAGTAAAGACCTCAGGATTTTGCACACAAGGTTTCTCCTGGATTCCCACCCACACCCATGATTTCTTTAATTTCAACTCTCCTGCTGCTGCTTCCCCTTCTCCTCTTCACTGCATGCATAGGAGGTGCTTTAGGGGGTCTGGCAGGTCAAGGCTTCTCCCAACCAGCAGGTCTGTGCCTGTTTCTCTCTACCCTTCTCTCTGCACTTTGGAGATGGGTAACCCAGAGAATATCCTCAGCAGCAGGCCTGAAGCCAGTCACTGTGAGGCAGGGGTGAGGAACCCAAAGTGTAGCCTTTCCAGCAGGCAGGCTGGTGAATGAAGTGTGTGTGAAGGAAATCAGTGAGTTTTGACATAAAATTCTCTCTGTCAGGAAGAGCTGTATGAATAATCTGTAACTAATTTATTTGATCAAATTTGTCCTCATAAAAATCTATTTTCTCCAATTATTTTAATATTTTCACAGAATAATTCTTGGTACGTAGCCCATTCTCTGTCTGTTTGTTGTATTTTATATTCAGTTTTTTCGATTGGATGCATAGGTTTCATGACAGGTTTCTCTTCCCAGACAGTAATTCTTACTTGTTTTTCTAAGGAGAACTTTACTTCATGTCTACTGGAGTACCAAGTGCCACTGCTCCCAATGGAGTAGTTTACAAAATAGTAGACACCTCACGGTAAGAAATGCTCTTGTTACAAAATCTACATTTTGGTTCAGTGGACCTGGGTTCAAATGTGATTGATGGTTATGGCTAAAATAAATTGCTCTTGTTTCACCTTGGTCCCTTGTTAAAGAGTAAACCAGTGTAAACAGGGACTGGCTTCATATTAGAGAGTTGTGAGCAAGCTTCCTAGTGGATGCTCGGGGTTTCCACAGAGTTGAAGTCTGTATTGGTGGGTGATCCATGGATTTGCTTTGAAGGGGGTTGTATACCTTACCTGGGTGTGAGGGTTATTCAGTGTCAGCTTGAAAAGCAGGCAACTGGTTTTGTGGGACTCGAGTCTCTCAGAGGCTGCTGTATTAGGGGACAATGGAGCCTCACGACTTCTGCCCAAACTGATGCTGCCTTTGTCAAGGTGGTTGATACGTTCCCGACAGGCCCATCTACTCCCTGTTCCCTCCTGCACAAAGCCCACCTCCACAGAGCGCCTTCTGCAGCTGGCCGACACCTTCTGCAGGGGAGGTGCGAGATCCATGTCCACAGAGGGGCCTCTCTATGTGAATTAAAGGGCGCAGCCCAGCCTGATATTAGCACCACCACTTTCTATAACTAAAACAGAAAAAATAAAATAAAAACTGAATTTACTTTTTGCCATTTATGCTTTTGGTGTAATGGTGGAACTAGCTTGGACAGTGGCATGAAGACTAGGGCTTCACTTTCGGGATCTTATGTTATTGCACGAAGTTGTTGTATCTGGGACATTAACAATGTAGGAGAATCTTCGGGAGGATTTATACATTTTAATTTACTTAAAACATGACTATTAAAGGACCAAATAATGCCTTCAGATAAATGTGCCCTGTAGGCTTTTTAAGACGTGTGTTTATTTAAAATAAACTAAATTTGGGCATCAGCTCTCTGAGCATCTTTTTCAAGTCTGCCTGGGAAAACTCCATATTTCCAGAGAATATCTCTCTACTTTCTGATTGTATATTGGTAGTTTCTGAATTCCAGAACTTCACCCTTCTCTTTTTTTTTTCTCTGACTCCTTTGCAGACTAGTACTTTTTAGATCGTATTATTGCCCATCAACTGAAACAATTTAGAATATTTCCTGCATGCCACAGAATGTATTAAAAAGATGCTTGCCGTTTCCATGGTACAAACCAGCATCTTAAAACCATAGACATCACTTTTTAAAATACAAAGTACAGTGCTTATTAGTATCAAACCACATAGAAACATTTAAAATTTTGAAAAACAGAACTCAACAGGCAATCTATAAATTATAAATGAAGGTCTCCTTAGTAGTACTCATTATAGAGCATAACAGTGGGAAAATAAAGATTTATATACGGGCTTACAAAAGTATAGTATCCACAAGTCAATAAGTGAGAGAGCTATTCTTCATGTCTGGCTACTACAGTCTTCTTTCCAGACACAGCAGATGCAAACAACTCTAATTATATAGGGATTATTTGCTGCATGTGTGCATGCAAATAGTCAGACTGCATTATCCAACTGTTGCACTGCTTTGAAAATCCTCAGAAGCCCTGAAAATAACAAACCAAATATCAGAGGAAAAAGTGGCTATGTACTGGGTGTAACTTCTCAAAAGTGAGGGACGCTGCCACGGCAAACAAGCTTGAGTCAAATGAATGTAGCATTTTAGGAGAGTGTTTCTTTAAAAGGGACTCTGAATGTAAAAATCTAATTTGAAGTGAATTGCATCTATGATGCCGTTTAAACTGTTAACTTGCTGTCAGTGACAAATTCCAGATACCTTTTATTTTCCATTTTCTATTGTGTGAATTGTGGTCCAAAGTGAAGTGTATTTTTGTTTTAAATATATAAATGATTGCATGCCATCTTGTTTCTATGGAGATGGCTTGGAAACTTGCATGTGAACATGACATTCATTTCAGCTATCTAACAAACATTGTGTAGCTTTATGCTTTTTTCTGTTCAATTTGATTCATATCTTTCTGTATTGCTTGAACCCATCAATGATTTGTACTTTGATGGATCCAGTAATGATAAAGAAAATGCTATCAAAATATTGCACATGCTTGTGAATATTTGAGCTCTCTGTTATACAGAGTGAATAGGATTTTGTGAGGTGGGATGTAAGAGTTTATTTGGGTCATTTAAATAGACTTTTTTCCACAAGTGTGAAATTCATTGAAAAGCAATGGAAACAAAGAATGCTGCTGATACCATTGGAAAGCAATTCATCCTGTATTGTCTGTGTTCCTCTTTCACAGGAGAGCACCCCCAGGAAAATGCCGGGTTGAGCCTTTGTCAGTGAAAGTGAAAAGCAGGCTCATAAAGTTTGTGCCAAAGGAGAGTGAGTATTGTTGTTGCTCCTTATTTTTAATCCATAAATATAAACTCAAAACCGGCATTATCTTTTTGGATGTGCAAACCATCCAGAGCCTCGGCCCCAGTCTATCCTTAAAATTAATTTCTACCTACTCCTTTTTAATATAAGGAGCGAAGGATAGTTGGGGCACTAGCCTAGGACTTAGGAGAGACTGGTTCAATTCCTTGCTGCGCTACAGACTTCCTGTGTAACGTTGGGCAAGTCACTGAAGGCAGGTCTACACTTAAAACGCCGCAGCACTTCAGTGAAGACACTACCTATGCTGATGGGAGAGCTTCTTCTGTCGGCATAGCTAATCCACCTCTGTGAGAGGTAGTAGCTGTGTCGACGGGAGAAGCGCTGGAGTATTGTGTCCAGTTCTGGGCACCACATTTCAAGAAAGATGTGGAGAAATTGGAGAGGGTACAGAGAAGAGCAACAAGAATGATTAAAGGTCTTGAGAACATGACCTATGAAGGAAGGCTGAAATAATTGGGTTTGTTTAGTTTGGAAAAGAGAAGACTGAGAGGGGACATGATAGCAGTTTTCAGGTATCTAAAAGGGTGTCATAAGGAGGAGGAAGAAAACTTGTTCACCTTAGCCTCTAAGGATAGAACAAGAAGCAATGGGCTTAAACTGCAGCAAGGGAGGTTTAGGTTGGACATTAGGACAAAGTTCCTAACTGTCAGGGTGATTAAACACTGGAATAAACTGCCTAGGGAGGTAGTGGGATCTCCATCTCTGGAGATATTTAAGAGTAGATTAGATAAATGTCTATCAGGGATGGTCTAGACAGTATTTGGTCCTGCCATGAGGGCAGGGGACTGGACTCGATGACCTCTCGAGGTCCCTTCCAGTCCTATAATCTATGAATCTATGACACTGTGCTGTCTACACTGGGAGTTAGTTTGATATAACGGCATCACTTGGGATGTGGATTTTTCACACCCTTGAGCAATGTAGTTATACCAATTTAAGTTTGTGGTATAGACCTCACCTTAGTCTTTCTGTGCCTCAGTTCCGCGTCTGTAAAATGGGAATAGCAGCACTCCGCTTCCTCACAGTGTTGTGAGGATAAATACATTCACGATTGTGAGGCACTCTGATACTGTGGTGGTGGGAGGCCATAGAAGTACCTAGGATAGACATACTAAACATTCAGCTTAGACTGTCCCTCCTTACATGACTTTTTCCTATTCCCTCCCATCTTCCCTTTCTGTGGTAGATAGCGATATGGCTGTCTCATTAAGAGCAGCATGGATTCCCTGTGCCAGGGCTTAAATTCAGCCGGAGCCGTTCAGAGCGGAGCTCGGGTAAATATTCCGGTAGGGCAGAAGCCCTGAGCCCCGCCTACTCCTTTGGCTGCGGGGCAGAAGCCCTCAAGTTCTGGGAAATTGTGAGAATTTAAACCCTGCCTGTTGCCATCTCTGCCCTGGAATCTTGAATTCTACAGTGCTTTCCACTAGGAAAACAGTGGATTTTGGAGTACCTCTGAATAGGCAGAAGCACTCCAGGGGGTGAAAAATCTTGTTATTAGAGGACTGGAAAGTAGCTCATTGGGAGAGAATGGATCTGAGCCATTGTTACTTAGAGGATGGGAAAGATGAGGAAAATGCTCTCAAAAGATTCAGTTCAGTCAGATAGTCAGCTGAACTTCTGGCTTACGCAAACCTTCCAGTCCCTACTGATTGCCTGTTACTAAATGTAGTATTGCATAATGATAGACTTTATCAATTAGTGAGCTCCAGAATTGCTGAGTACATTGCGAGATCAGGCCCTAAAGCCAACAATGTGTAAGTTTCCAGAGTGTAATAATCTCTTCTCTGTATTGTCAGTTTCCCCAATTTCTTTCTGTCTTCAAAAACTGAGCTTTCAGAATAGGGAATGCTTTTCATGCTACAAACAGGACCCCCCTGCCAACACATGGGATTCTGGGAGGATGTTCCAAAAATTGAGTCCCTCCAAATCTTGGCCAGTCGAGAATGTGGGTTATTAAGGAGAGGGTGGTGTTTGACACTTTTTCCCTTCTGTATATTAAAAAGTATAATGAGTGAGGTTGGAGCGGAAGTCCGTAGGCTAAACAGCAGAATTTTGACATCTTTGCAAATATGCATAACATTGTGAGAGCTAATTGGTTGATTTATTATTCTGAATAAAGCAACTATCCCTTTGACTAGCCTATATTTATTTTTAACTTAAAAATAGAATGAATAAGCAAGTCCAGTAATTCCAGGAAGCTGTAACAGTAAAATATGTCCAGCCCTTTGCAGTTCAAGGCTGTTTTAAAAAAACTCACTGTTTTATGTGTTGTCCTGGCAACTCGGCTCTTTTTGCACATTCCAGTTACCAGAGAGAATTGATTGTGAATGTTTGTGATTCCAGCCACACTGAAGTATCTGGCACAGTGGGGAGGCTGGAGCTCTCACAATCTGGTAATGATCCAGTCATTAGTAATGAAGAGGACAGCAAAAGTAGAAGCATGTCTTTTTAAAAATGCTTTCTGCAGGGACAAGAGGTACAGGGAGAGAATTCTGTTTCTTGCCAGAAGTTTTCAGCAAATCTGACTCTTGATGTGTCCACGCATTAAAGTTCTGTCAGTAAACTGTGCATGGAAATTTGGTAATGTTTCCTTTTTTGTCCTATTTATTGGCATTGAACAGTGCAGTCATCTCCAGCAGCCAGACATTCTTAAAAGCACTGGAAACTTTTAGCTGATGCAATGTTGGTTTAACTACTCAACAAGATCAAGAAAGCAAACTCCATTAGGCCTTGGCAATGCTCGCGGATTCACAACGCTGCCGCGTGTAGTCGCGCCGCCAGCGCTGTGAGAGCTCTCTCGCAGTGCTGCAAGTACTCCACCTCTCCGAGGGGAGTAGCTTGCAGCGCTGCGAGAGAGCGTACAGCGCTGCAGGCGCTGATTACACTGGCGCTTTACAGCGCTGCACTCGGTGCACTTGGGGGTGTGTGTGTTTTTTCACACCCCTGAGCGCAGCAAGTGCTGCGCTGTGAATTGCCAGTGTAGCCAAGGCCTTAGAGAAGTTAAATACAGTGGAGCTATAAGTTAGCACTGTTTTTATGTAGTCATTTTAAACTATTATATTAGCTTTATAGACTCATTATTGTTACCTCTGTTTTTCCCCCAATAAGAACTGATTGTGAAAACACCAACCCAACGGCCTAGATTAAGGACCACCACCAAAGCCCCAAGGAGGGGTAGGCCAACTTCCGAAACACCCCGTGCCACTACTCCAGACTGGGTGGAACAAATCTTGACCCTTCTAAGGAATCAAAATAGAGTGCAGGTGACCTCCAGGACACCAACAACCAAACCCCCAAAGTCCAGGAAAGGGGGGAAGAGTGGGGAAAGGAGAGGGCAGAGAAGGAAAAACAAACCTCCCAGCACTCTGTCTCCCCCACAGCTCCTGAGTGGTGCAGTGCGACTGATGAACAGGCAAGCACGAGGAAGGGACCGGGGAAGGGTGGAGATTTACATCAGTGGAGAGTGGGGCACTGTATGTGACGACTTCTGGAACTCCAAAGCGGCAGCTGTGGTGTGTCGCCAGTTAGGGTTCCCTTATGTTGTCAAGGCAACCAAGAGAGCGGAGTTTGGGGAAGGACATTCGCTTCGGATTCTTCTTGATGATGTTGAGTGCACGGGGCAGGAGAAGAACCTGCTGGAATGCACACACGCAGACGTTGGCAAAAACAACTGCTCCCACAAAGAAGATGCAGGAGTGATATGTAGCCATGAAGAGGTTATAAACTGAAAACTAATAACAGTACATTGGGAGGAATGGGAGGGTAGAACTGGACTAAACTCATCTTTCTTTTCCCCCCTTTTAAACAGTGGATGTATTGAATACAGTATATTTAGCCCTGAGGATGCTATATCTGATTTAAGTAATCTTGCAGTCTTGTCCCCATACATTCTATAATGTGTGTGCTGAGAGGAGAGAATGTACAGAACATAATCGCTTGAGCATGTGTGTGAACGGGGATCAGGGTTTTCTTTTTTACAGGTAGAAACAGAAACATCCTCATGTTAGCGATTATGAAATAGAAAGATGCCCTCCTTTGTCATCTCAGATGCAACTATAGCACAGCGTTCCCCCAGCCAGGTCTGGCAGCATTCTGCTGAAAAACATTCCCAAATGGCAGTGTTTTAAAGTTTTGTTTATCCAAACCTTCACATTGCCTGCTTAACTGTTCTGGCACCTGTACAAAAAAATGAACATTGATCTTTGAGCATCTACGAGTCTGTGTGTTTTGTTGTGGAACATGGAGATAACTTAGTGTTGAATCTCCATGCTCTGGCTTAAAAAGGAAAATGAAGACAGGGGACTGATTCTCCTCTCTAGCTGTTTTCATGCTGGTGTAAATGTATTGACTAAAGTGGGAATTACACCTGTTTACATGAGGAAGGAATCCTACCCAGAGTAACTGTAGTGCCTGGAAGAATTATGTATTAAATTCTACAAATTGATTGAAATTTCAGAGAGTCTTGTCTCATCTCACTTGCACCAGAGTAACCTCATTGACTTCACTGGAGTTACTCCGATTTACACCAGTGTAAGCAAAAGGCAAATCCAGCCCATTGTACATATGGTGGCTCTAATCCAGTTTAACTGCAGTTATGGAGACACTTCAGTCCTGATTGTACCCTGCCTTGAGCCTTGTGTAGCCACATACCTCTGTGCAAAACAGGTGCAAAATGCTACCAAATCAGAAATGTAGCATTTTACACCCATTTTGCACAAGTGTAAATGACTACACAAGGGGCAATGTCATAGAGAACAAGGCCTGTTACACATGTACTATCCTTAAAGGGACACCATCAGCTTCAAAAAAATCTCACACTTCTGTCTGAATTGTGGTTTTGTTTTTTTTGTTTTTTTTTACAAGTAACACATAAGTAACACTAACTGAATGAGTGGAGACACATTGTTTCTCTCTCTCTTTCTCTCTCTCACACTTTTTAAAATAGTTTTTGTCCTCATTTTATGTACAGTAATTTTCACTTTATATTCAGTGTCCGTTTTCTATTTACTGTGTATCTTTCACACAGCAACATGGGAAAGATGAAAAAAGGGAATATGTAGTACTTGTAAAGACAGCCAGCAGAATTCAAACGCAAGACTTAGAATCTGCAACTATTGACTAATTTTGTTGAAATAGCCCAAAATCCAAGCTGACCACATCCTTTCAAATCCAAAACACAACTCCAGATGCTAAATAAATTGGTTTAAAATGATCATTCCTGAAATTTCTTGAAGACCCTATAAATAATCCTTGATGGTAAAGAATGGCATCAGTGTGTAAGCAGAGATGATGAAAGGAGTAGCACAGACTACAACTTTCTGTTCCATGTTAATCAAGTTAAAAGGGGAAAACAAAGAAGTAACGTGCCTTTTGTGGAATGGTTTCAGAGTAGCAGCCGTGTTAGTCTGTATCCGCAAAAAGAACAGGAGTACTTGTGCTCAAATAAATTTGTTAGTCTCTAAGGTGGCACAAGTACTCCTGTTCTTTTTGTGGAATGTTATTCTTGTTGCCGCAAAAAATGTCGTCAAGGCTTTTTTCACGGCAATCCAGTAACCAGGTGCAGCTGTTGAAAACTTGGGGATACTCAGTTTGGATGTATCAGATTGTTTTGGGAACAATTAGAGAAGCCCTTTGTAAATTTGTCTATAAAACCATTGGGCCATATACAACAGTTTTTTGGGCGGGTTGGGGGAAATAATTTATATTTCTTAACATTTGTTTTAAAAAATTCCCCTTCCCCTTTCTTTTTTATAATCCAGTTTATAGCTGTTCAATTTTAAACGGAAATTTGAGGGGGTGTTCTGCTTAAAATCTGTAGGTAGGTTCTGGCCCACGTGAACTAAAGCTATCCCAGAATACTCCTGGATGATTTGAGTATCTTTGCCAAAGACAAGGTGGGGAGGACCCTTAACATGGCGAAGAGGAGCAGGTGATTGAGTGCTCCTCAGATTAAAGTCTTAATTTATTTTACGCCTGCTTTTTGCCATCTGGAGCCTTTGGCAGCAGAATGTAAGTAAATGCCACCTCATCTTTGAGGACTGTCAGTGCTGATCACCAGCATCTCCTAGTTGCTGCTGTTGCCACCTTGTGGCACTCATTCTCTGCTGGGAGAGGAGAACGTAAGGAATACTCAAGGCCACAGCTATCACCTCTCTATTGGTACACGGGGGAGGTGACGACAACTGACACCAGCAAGTTCAGATACAAAGCTCTGCAGTCCCAGTGTGTGCTGTGGGAATCCTGTGGATGCCACACAGCGTATAGAGAAAATATACAGTATTAGAAACAGAGGCCGTCTATTATATTTTTCCCTGACAGTTTCCCACCAGTACTGTGCTCCCACAGTTGCTTCCTCCAGAGGAAGTGCAACAGTGGGAAAACTTGGGGGGCAGCATAGACAAAGAGAAAGTGAGTGTGTGGATTCTATGCATATTCATACAACAGAGAAGGTAAGTATTCCTGATCATCATGATCCCTTCTAGCCTTAAAAATCTATGTATTTTTCACTCTCTACTTCTGCAGCATTTAAATAAAGAGCCTCTGATGCCAAAGGCTTGAAATACCTGTACATTTAAATATTTAATGCATCATCAGCTATTTAATAAGATTCTTATTGTTAGAATTTGTCATTCTTTTAATGCTCACTGCTTCACTTGTTTCACAGTTCACATATAAATTTAGTTTTAGATATGTCCTATTCCTTCATCAGAATATGCCAATGCACAGACCTCTGTGCTAGTGGACCATGATGCAGGATCAGCACCTTAAACTGTCAGTTACCACAGTGCAATTGTGAATATGTTATTCATGAGTTATGTGGCTTCCCCAGAGACTTTGCCTTAAACTGTTGTAGTGTTGCTGTGTGCTGTTAAACAATTGCTTCTTTCCACCCCAGAAGTGGCTGCGTTTCAATATTGGATTGCAGTTCCTCTGTATGTGAATGCAGAGTTTCTGAAACACTTTAAGAACCTTGAGGAGGAAACATGCTGTATAAATTGAGATGTTTTTATCCTCTATCTGGTAATGTAAATGTATCTCAAAACTAATGACAGGTTTCAGAGTAGCAGCCGTGTTAGTCTGTATCCGCAAAAAGAAGAACAGGAGTACTTGTGGCACCTTAGAGACTAACAAATTTATGCATCCGAAGAAGTGGGCTGTAGTCCACGAAAGCTTATCCTCTAATAAATTTGTTAGTCTCTAAGGTGCTACAAGTACTCCTGTTCTTTTTTCTCAAAACTAAGCTATTATATGTTCTCTTTAGCCACTAAGGAGTCCTGGACCACCAAAAGAAAGAAAAATAGTTTGAAAATGAGTTCTATTTCATCTATGTGAAATTTCAGTTTTAGATTTTTAAGAAATATGCAGAGCAGAATTCTGCAGTGAGAACCCTGCCCACTTCCCATGTATCAGCTTGCTGGGTATAAACAGTAGCCCACACATTTCTTATGCTACTAAATACAAGCAGGTTTCTAGAAATTTTGATGGCGCCCAGAACCTGCCCCCCCCCCCAAACTGTCTTTAATTAATATTAAGGCTCTGACTCAAACTCAGGAAATTGAGTATCAGCATTGCAAGTGACACACTGTTTTTAACATGTCAAAGAATGGAAGAAAACAAAGACACCAGGGTATGAGTCAGGGACAGAATTTCAGCCTTAATGGCACATTTCCTGGCATTAGCTGGATAGTCACACCCCAAATTAAAGTTATTTAAACTTTATATTTGGGTGTGTTTGAGATTGAGGGGGAAAAGGGATCACTGAGTGCAAAGTTGTTCTGAAATGCATTGTTCTCCGCACTGAACAACCAGAGAGTGGTGTCTGAGGGACTGGGATGCCCTCTCAGAAAAGCTGGATTCCCAGATATTCTCGTGAAAAAAATTTTAAACCCAGAGGGTGCCAACCAGCCTGTATTTTATAAATAAAAAACCCAGATTCTAAAATTAATTTTTGAAATTTTGGGATATATTTGAAAAAAATGTTACATCTTCACTTCTGATGTGAGCATTTTGCACAAATGAATTGAGGTGAGTTCGCCAACAAGCAAATATTTTCCTGCATATGTTGTAAATGACATGTACAAGATTAATAATGGAGAAGCAACTATGTAATGCAAGAGTTCCAGTAATGGGTCCTGTCCATGGTTGTGTACTTATAGTTAGGGGAAATGTTATTTGCTCTTACTCTAACCCAGATAATGTGCACTCTAGTACTGTAGTGATGGGTAACATACAAATCTACACAGTAATAATAGTAAAACCCGGGAGATCAGCTGTTAAGACAGTTGACCAACAGAACACCAAGATGGATTTTTTTTATTATACTGTTGCATATTTTTATATAAGGTTAGCCGGTTTCTATTTTAAACCTGTGATTATATTCCCTATCCCCAAAGTTATTTATAAAGCATTGAACTGAGCTGGATGTATCCATGATAATTCCACTCAGTGCTAGTGCCTTTTGCTTGCTGTGTATCACAATATAAATTGAATATGTTTAAACCTCTAGCACATTTTAAAATCAGAGATAAGTGGAGCAGTTTTGCTTTGCCATCACACAGTAAGAAAGCACGAGATTACATGCTCTATATACTAGATTTTAAATTCCTTGGGGGCAGAGACCAGGCCTCTGTCTGTTGTAAACTGTAGTTGCTTAATGATTAGTCTATGATGACACTAGACCATTAAACAGACAAGGAAGCACCAACGAGAAAGCAAAGACAAATTTTATAGGGTAAGGTTTTATTTTCAGTGACAGTAAAATCCATTTACCTCCCATTAGACAAATGCCTGAGTATTTTCATTGTCGATCCACGCAATCATTTTCTGTCAGAGTAATGTCTGCATTACGGTGTCCAAAAATGTTCTAGCACACCATGATGCTATAGATCTTCTATAAACTTTGTTATAAGTGATCTGAATATTCCCACAGGCAGCACAGATTATGGTCCTAATCCTGCAAGCAGTTACTACTGAGAGCATCTATCATCCTCCCAACCCCCATGAGCTATGTGTAAAGGAAGGCTAATGCTTGCACAGATTATGGTAACCATATGCTGCAAAAGACCCTATAGTAGCAATGTGATGTGCTATTGATGCCAACATAAAATACTAATATACAAGTGTTTATTTCCATTGGCTATGGCACTCTGCTCAAGCACGTTGCTTGCATAGTCCCTGATCCTGCACTGAGTTCAGGGCTCTGCCCGTAT